TTCATGTAAACAACACATAGAAAATAACTGATTGACTGCAAAGAGATTGCGGACCCTCGTCGTTTGAGTTTTCATCACTGGTAAAGAAAAAAAGACAGAAGAGCGAACAACACGAAAGAAAACAAATTCTGTTTATAATAGATATTGGTGTAAAAATCATCGCTAATCATCTGCCCTCACCTTAGGCTTTACTCAGCCATACAAAGGGGAAGAATAACCTCTGCTCACAGGGTAGGGAAACATGGGCATGCCAGCAGCAAACCCCTCCTCTGATCAGACCCATGCAAAACCTATCTTATTGGAAGGCTTTACATCCTGCCGCTCAGCCATACAAAGGGGAAGAATAACCTCTGCTCACAGGAGAGGGAAACATGGGCATGCCAGCAGCAAACCCCTCCTCTGATCCGACCCATGCAAAACCTATCTTATTGGAAGGCTTTACATCCTGCTGCTCAGCCATACAGGGGGGAAGAATAACGGCTCTGCTCACAGGTTAGGGAAACATGGGCATGCCAGCAGCAAACCCCTCCTCTGATCAGACCCATGCAAAACATATCTTATTGGAAGGCTGTCATTTTGATACTCGTTATTTCAAATGAGGTAAATGATCTAAATTTAAATAATTTCATAAAGTCATCGGTACTTTTTATTTTTACCATGGGTAATCAAGGGTTTCATTAAGGATAGGGGATCGGAGAATGCCTCAACTACCTTTAACAGTTTAGTAATTCGTAAAATGTTCACCTAGGTTCAGGCCAAATCTTGAACTTCACATGAGCCAAACCTAATTGAAACAATGAATATCAAGGCGGTCTTCTTTGATGTCGTTAGGTTCGGCTCATGTAAAGTTCTCCGTCTAGTTCATGACCTTTTCCGAATCCTATCATTTCAACCGCATTTCAAAACTTAATGAAATAATCCATGGGCAATATTCCATTTCTTTTAGTATTCAGTGTTTGTGTTGGTATTGCTATTACTGTTGCCATTGAAATAAATTAAATTAAGCTCGCTTTATTTTGTGCTTTAGATTTTAAAATCAATGTTTTGCTCGACGATTGCATGCGATAATATGTTGCATGAATTTATTTGAGTATTCTAGATAAGGTATCACTTAATGCTACTTTATTTCTCCGTTGCTATATTGCGGCTATGATTTTCAATCATTCCTAAGAGAATGAAATAAAAGAGACGACGGCCATGTTGGATGATATAACAAAAGAGACTAATGACAAATCTTTCGTTAAATTCATCCAACATGGCGGCTGTGAAAACCATGCCAAAAATATAAATGACAGTTACTTGACTGTTGATCATAATAGTTGGTTTGTTACCATTCATAAAGAATATAAATATGTGGGAAGACACAGGAAAAAATGAATATCGTCTAACATGGCCACACCTTGTTTATTTAGAAAGGGCAACGGAGTGACAAAGTGATATTGAGTTTGCAAGCCTTTGAGTTTAAAATTATTTTGCTTCTCATTGCGTTACCCCGGCAAAATGTCACGCAATCTCTTGATATGTCCTTTTGATTGGGTAACGCAAGAAGAGCACATCACAGCCTATAGAATAATAATRCTTGATAGCTTTATGTTAAATTCAAAGGTAATGAATGATTTAGAAATTTGTACGACATTTCGCTTATTGCTATGTATACAAACGCAAAAGGTGTTGTTCATAAGATTCATTAAAAATGCTTCGTAGTCACGTGTGTTCTCCGTAATTTTCGATTTACTCGACGAACGAGAACGCTTTTCATATTTTTGCGATCTAGTAGAGGTCCGAGATTTTTACTTTCGTCAGCTTGTCAAATTATAAGTTTAACGAACACCGAAACCCCTAATACTTTGGTTTAACGAATTATTTATTTCCATGTTTTGTATCCGATATTTCATGCAACAATTTTGAAAAAAGGAAAGAAAAAAGAAAAAAGGTGGCCTGGGCCAAGTTATCGAATTAACCACAAATAAATAATGTACCCATAGTCCTCCAGCGCCTCCCTGCTTTATCGTTAGCGCCTGCTCAGCACGCTGAACAAAACCGGAAAACTCTCTGGGCTCGGGATTGCTACAAATGCGCGCGCACATTACGTCATTATTATGTCATAATTATCTTCAGTCAGTATAATTCGTTCAGTTTTGACTTCAGCTTTGAAACGAAGTAGTGGAGTTTCTCATGTGAAGCTGATTTGAGTCTGCACTTTTAAAGATAAATTTGCAGGAAAGTTTTTCTTTAAGAAACTGAATCTAATTTTCTAGGAGCAGGTATTTCACTAAATAGTTAAAAAGCCATTCGTAGGCTTTCAGACGGATATCTCTAATGCAAGCTCAATAAGCTGTTTGAAGAATGAAACAAGTAGTAAAATTAAAAATTCAGCCTGTTTCTAAAAGTGTGAACCCCAATTACTGATGTTGATTGACAACTTTGAGCCGTAACTACATGTCCCTATGACAATAATGGCGGATTCTGTGCGATGCTTCCGGCTGGCAATGACACGAGATTTTTTATGGAAAACACAACCAGCAAAAGGTAATCTATTTTCAAATATCGTTTTTAAGTGTTGGTGCTTTCGTTCAAGTTTTATAACTTTTTCAAGAAAAAGTGGCAGACTTGGAGTCATAAATCTCGACTGAAATACTAATTGTCGAACCAATGCCTATACATTTTTCAAGATCATCTGATCACGAAGATCCAAGTGTGCACGGGCCTAGGAGCGGTTTCAGGGCCATCATATAGTTGGCCATCATCACGCATCTTGACAATGTTAATTTTTTTGTATTTGGGAAATTTGTCAATATGGCAGCATTGTATATCATTCCACAAAAATGATGACCAACAAACAATTCACAATAGATGAATCAACTCAGGAGCTGATTTTGATGATAAAAAAGTGCTTTAAAAAATTAGCGTAGGTGGATTTTTCTAATGATTAGGAGAATGTTTGTCCCAACCGTCAGTATGATCCAGGCCATTTATTGAGTGCATTTATATAATGGTTAGTGCTACCATAGTAACGAATCAGTTGATTTTCCAGAAGTCTTTCGTATTCCAAGGTCAGTAGATGTGCTGTGTGGTCACCCTATAGCTGTTCTCCTAACCACCACTGTGTGGTAGACTGTTGTGTTGCAGTGCATTTGAATACTGGGTTAGTGTTACCATAGTAACAAGTTCCCATATCCCAAGGTCATTTGATGTGCTGTGTGGTCACCCTATAGCTGTTCTCCTAACCACCACTGTGTGGTAGACTGCCGTGTTGCAGTGCATTTGAATTTTGGATTTGTAGTTCCATATTTTCCGAAGTTATCTTCGTCATGAATGTATGATGCTGCAGGTGGCGTGAATCCACACAAACACAATGAGATATCCACGTGTAAATGGCACTCATCTCTTAACTGCCATATTGTTACTTGTTGCCATTGGAACTCATATCCTTTGAAGTTCACGTAAGACATTTTTGGACAGTATYCATTTTGTTCCCCACTATTGATGATATCAAAGTCTTTCTTGTATCCAAGCAAAAGRTCAGGAGTAAGAGAATCTCTGTTTTGGTACTCACATGTAGCTCTGAACATGGTGGCCTTGGTTTGGATGTACTGCATGCTGCTTAGYGACARACGATAGTCGTTCCAGTTATGGGATTTCTGGTTCCTCGGATGATCCTGATGGAAGRCTTTCGTCTTATACAAAATATCGTTMTTTTGTAGAGAGAAAGATTCGATGAGAGTCCAGGCCTGGTTTGGACTTTCAAAAGCACAATAGACGGGTACAGTAGTCTTGGTATCACTACGGGTGATAATGTAGGTACCATTTGCTGGCATGGTACCTGGTGCAGATCCTTTCAACACATCAATGCAGGAACTGAACTCTCTCTTTTCACAGACGTTTCCTTTGTAAGTGACTGGGCACTTGCAGCTGAACTTGACTTTTGGTTTCTCACAGTGTTCTACACAGGTTCCTCCGTTCATACAAGACTGACTCTTTCTACAGCATCCATTATAGCACACACCCGCAGGATGAACCATGTGGGATTTCTTAAGTAAAAAGTTGAAAATTCATTTTAGTCTTACAATAATCATGTATAACAGCAAAAGCATCAAAACTCACCCCTTTATAGAATGTCTGTTGTAGATCATAGTACACGTATCCTGTCTCATCTACAAAGTCTTCTGCCTTGGAAGTCTTGTCCTCATCCAGCAACTCACACCTGACATCTTTCATCTGGAACGCCTTACAACGACAGTCATTGACACAGGACGAGAAGCACGTGCATGGAACCTTAATGGTAATGTTCTTGTAGGAGTATCCTCTGAGATGTTTTCCCTTGATGACTTGCTTGTTCTTTGGGAAAGATCCCGAATAGCAGGTACCTTGACATTGGAACTCACTGATCACGTGAGTGACGCATGATAACAGCGTGACGATCACATGTGGCAGCATGGTTCTTTTTCCCTTGCTGTAAAACCGAAAAAGATAATAGAGTAATTTATTTGGCCCTTTAAACAATTCACCATATTCCATACATCGGTTCACTGGTCAAACACAAAGCATTCAGTCGAGGTTGCAAGATTCAAATTTGAATAATCCTTTGAAAGTACTTTGGCGCCTCGCTTGAGCGCTTTGTGTTTGACCAGTAAACCGATGTTTGGAAAATGGTGAATGCAAAGAAAAACAAAAGAAAATGGTGAATGCAAAGAAAAACAAAAGAAAACAATGGAATAGTGTCTACTGCTATGTATTACGCTTACTATTCTTTTACGGGCCAAGTAAAAACACTATATTATAACAAAAATATATAATCATTATTATGATTATGACTGTGAATACTAACATTAAAGATAATAGTTTGACTTATCGCTGAAACCGTAAAAAGGAAATATTTTAATATCATAACGTCTTTTCTCAATGTGGATTTGATTATTTATATTTGTTAGATATGACCTTTTTATTTGCGATCAGAAAAACTCAACCTGACAAACTAGC